CACACCCACACCCACACCCACACCCACACACCCACACCCACACCCACACCCCGATAAAATATTGAATCTTCTAAAATATCTATTTAAATTGAAAAATGAATTATACTGAAGATTTTCAATCATTGCATCATTGGGGAGAAAAACTGTGTCATGTGTATAATAATGTAAGTTTTATTTATTGTAGCATGAAATAAACTGTAACAACTCTGTTTTAGAATAGTTGTGGTCTGCCAACTATCAGTAGTCGAATTATCAAATAGTGATGTGGTGAAAAGCTTCATTGATATTCATTGTCTAATTTTAAATAATTCTAACAATCTCAAATCATACTAAAATAAATATTGATCTGCGTGCTCCATATGAAATGAATCTCATTGAATAAATATTTTTTTTCTTGAACCATCACTGTTCGTTGACTCTTTCTATGAATACCGTATTGCTGTTATGTGCAATTTTCCTCATAGAGCGCTTATTCGATTACTTTAAAAGGACGAAAACAATGAGGCAAACACAGACAGCAATAGAAGATCAATATTTGACATGCAGCAAAAATGAGATTCGAACCACTCGAAAAAACAAACCAACGGTACACAACACGAAAAACTCTATCAACAACAACATATTAGTAACTTTACTCGGAACATTTCGGCTTCAATTACTTGATCGTGGTGAGTGAATTATTAGGAAGATTCGAAAAGCAAAAAGTAACTATTCTGAACGTCATTTGATTAGCGCCAAGGCACTGTGAATAGTCTACTGCTTTTTTCTACCAATCTATTGCTTAATTTGAGTTATTAACGAGATAATATACGACAATCTGTATAATGTAACTGCGACTTTAATGAGACTATGCATAGAAAGCACACAAACACAAGAATAAATTTGAGTATGGTTAAGAGTGATAGTGGAAAATCATCTAGGTGTGAGTGTGGGGTGTGGGTGTAGGGTCATTTCTCTTTTTACTCACACCCATACCCACATCCGATGTGGTTGTCCTCTTAGGTTAACGGAAAAAACACATCCACACCCACACTCCACATACCTACATACCGACACCCACACTCCACATACCTACATACCGACACCCACACTCCACATACCTACATACCGACACCCACACTCCACATACCTACATACCGACACCCACACTCACACCCACATCCTACTAGAAGAAATTTCGAACGATCCGGCAATATGTTAAAGTCACCATGAAAAATTTCAATCTAGTCATCAATGCATTTCTGTGACGGTGAAAATTTGTCAGAAACAGAGATATATGTTAGCACAGCAAAAGAACATTGGAGAATCTATCTATGTCTTAAAGTCGTCGTGGCGACTTTCAGGCTCCCAATGAACCTATTTTAAATATAGCGAAAACTATTAGGTCGTAGAGGAATGTATGAGACTAACCACCAAAAAAGTATCAGACACATTAGTTATGCGCTAGAGTGGCCAGTGAAAGCTTCACATTACTCATAAAAGTCTTTTAGTGATGACGGTAATTTTCTCACCATAACAAAAAGATTAAGAGAACGAGTCAATGTGTCAGCTTAGCAGCGAAAACTTTTGGACCGTACAGCAATTGGTGAGAGCAAGATCAAAAAACTTGAGAACCTTGCCATATATGAAAGTACCGGAAGCAAGCTTCAAGCTGCAAGAAATGCTTGCGAATGAGGGCGAAAAATTTATGATCATAGAGGAAGTCCTGAAAGGAGGAGCAAAAGGCTCCAGAAGTTAGCCATGTGTCAATAAACTCATAAAAACCTTCCTAATACCAACCAATCTCTTGAGTTTACATCAAAAACTTTCGGACCTCATAGCAATTTGTGTGACGGATAGGAAAAATTTTCAGAGAATCAGTCAGCCCTATTGAGTACCGGTCATGGGCGGCGGAACAATTTTAACTTAGGGGAGGCTCAAAATTTTTTCCTAGGCAATGATGAGAGATAGAACACAAAAGGAACTATTTTCTACTTTGTATAATGTTCGCTATATTTTAAACACATTTTTGGATTTATTCATGTCAAAATTTGAACCATAGTGAAAAATTTTACGGTAACGTTAACTTTTCTATTGGATAATTAGCATGTACATAAAAATCTTACACCTAATCTAATGTGAATATAGCAAGGCAGAGCTAAAAGCACTTCTCACGACCGAAAATGATTTCATGCTGTTTTTTTTTGAATGAACCATTGCAGCTATTCTTCTATTCCACGTAAACTAATTTTTCTTCATATGAAGGATATCGATATGACTAAAAGAGATCAGCGAATAAAATGTGCCAAAAGTCATTGTGACTTATTAAATGCATTTCAATACACTATTATTCAAGCTGAATCTAATATTTTTTATTTCAAATGGGAGCCTAGGAACATTTTGTTCTTAAAGATCAAGTTAATCAACAACGTAGCAAAAGCAGGATTTGTAGCTACAAAAAGAAAAACATTAGGCTTTTTCTATGTCAAAAACAATACAGTGTTACTTTCTATATCTACTAGAACTTTGTTCGTCATTGTGCACTTCAGATCATTTAGATCTTTCCGTATAGCTTGACAGCCATTTTCTGACACATTTTGAAAAGAACCAATAACTGATGCATTTTCCCTCGGTAGGTCGTTCGTGCCTCTTCGAAAACCATTAAGGCCGTGAAAAGTGTGCGTTGGACTATTTAACAACACATGTTATTATTAATATTGGCTTTCTTGCTCCTTTTTCTCGAGAATATATCAGGATGAGTATTTGTAAAGTCATGAGGATAGATTTGAATGATTTGAAGTTCCTAATAACGATTGAAATTCTAATAGATATCGAAAAAACGCTTCATATCATTTTCCACATAGAGAAAAACCTCATTTTATTCTTTTTTGTATTTGCAAATTCCACTTTTGCTACATTGTTGTTGAAACGGGTCTTTAATAATACAGACATGTTAGTCTCTTCTTTCAAATAAAATAAGTTTTGTGTTAAGCTTCATTGCTACAGGAGTTACATATATTTTCAATAGTAACCTTTGGTATATTCTGTATGTTCGTTATGTGTTATAAACAGGGAGTTTTAATGCGGTCAGTTAAATTAGTTGATAACATATTCACACTAACTACGTGAATATTAGTGATTATACTCATTTTTTTTCTTGTTCTTTTAAGAAAGACATGCTTCGACGCTATTTAGTAAAGATTTTGTCTGCCAAAAGATTCATGTTCATCTATTACTTCAAAATTTTTTGTAAAACTGAAGCAGAGATAAATGTTTGTGATCCGAAAGTCATAAAGGCACTACAAATATAGTGATACATATGGAATATCTAACATTTGACTGGAAGACTGTACATTCCATTCTTGTTTATGTTGCCATTCATATTTATTATCAGAACTATCATGTAAAAATTTACAACTATCGCCAAAATCACAATAACCTAAAAGAAGCAATAATTATATTATCATATATAAAACGAAATTTCCATTGCCACAAACCTTTTCTCTTATAAAACGTACGAATCTTAGGTTGAGTATTATCACGAACCGATGCATGAACATGAGCTGGTGCCCGTATTGGATCTGTAGAAAAAAATAATAATAAAAAACAAATCAAATACAAATAAAAATTTATCTTACCTTTATTGCAAACAAGACCACTGCTTGCATTTTTCTTTACAGTATCTTTTTTTTCATAAAATTCTTGATAATTATTTTGTAGGACGAAAAATTTTA